AATATTTGGGTTGAAGTGTTCTGGAACAGTGTTGTAAATACAACTTAACCACTGATTTCTAGTTGTGTCCTCTTTTGGAAGGCCAAACAAAGTAGTTTCGCTTTCACAATGAAACACAGCATCACACGCGGCGGCTAGAGTGAGGAACGAGTGAGAGGAGGCCGGTGAGCTTGAGAACGGCGCAGCCGGCGGATTCGACGAAAGAGCGTCCGGAGGGCTTGCGGCAACCACATGTGACGACTCCGGGCTGGACTCCGCTTCGTCCACGGTGAAAGCCGATCCAGCGATGCACAGCGAGAAGTTGATGCATTTCCTCAGTGACCAGCACTGATCAGCTCTAGGCATGACGAAGCGGATGTTGTCCTCTTTTGGAAGGCCAAACAAAGTAGTTTTGCTTTCACAACGAAACACAGTGTCTTCACGGCATGGCGGCGGCAACAACAATACTACAGCGAGAATAAAAGTTACGCTTTCTTTCTTTGCGTGAACATTTGGGCGGCGTTATGCAAATCTTCCCACATAGTGACGTAGACATGTGGGGTCGTGTTAGAACGAGCCGTTTTAGGTAGGCGTGGCTGACTGTTAACTTTTATAAAGAATATCTCTTTGGATTTGAGACTTAAGTCTTTGCAACTTTACAGATCTTCTTTTTGCACCAAGAGCTTGTAACACTTCAAAGAGAAAGAAAAAATTTAAATCGCATCATATGACCCCTTTAATGCTGTCTCTTCATCACTCCCCAGAATAAAATACAATTGTAAAACGTAGTCAGCATAGTTATCAATACACAATCAATGCACATGATGTGTTCATAATCACTAGAAATTGCTGCAGATATAGTGAAACTGCTGTCTATCCTACTTAAACCCATCCAAACATATTGACAGCACGGAGTTGTTTGGAATTATTGAGAGCTCCAGGAACCATGTTTCGGCGAGATCAAAGCGTGTCGCAACTCTGTTTCTCAACAGCTCTGAATTCACCTCAGTCTGAAATAGTAGATCACATTTTAAATAGCTTTTTGTCATTCGGATTGTGTTGTTTATAAAATGTCACACAAATTGGGCAAAAGAGCTCTGCCTGAATACACTTATTTTTGTTCACTCTTTCCTCATGTAGTGAACTGTGTAATAGAGAATTGTGTATGAGTGAATGAATGAATCAGCCGTTTTAGATGCAGTAAATGCATGAATGTGTAAAATGACTCTGTCGCTCGTGATCTCACATGTGCCATGTGGGTTCTGTGGCACAGCAGAGGCCAAATTTCCTGTCCCTTCCCACACTGATAGCTACACTTCAGTTTCTGTAGAAGAAAGTTTCTCAGTATTATGTTGACTGTTACATCATTAATATAGCAACAACCAATATAGTTATTGAAATACGGGATATTGAACAAACCGAATAAACCGATCGTATTTCATCCATTGCAAAAGGACAGGCAGTTCTAAAGTACAGATTAAAAAAACAAATCAGGTTTGTTTGAAATGTGAGCAAACCCTTAAAGTGTTGTTTGGTCTTTCCTTTCAGCCTGCCAGTGTGAATGTGTTCAAATATACCACTTTCTACATATATTACACCATGCTGCTCATCTCCCTGATCCTGGCCTGCTTGTCCGACCAGCCTCCACTCTTTTCACAGGCTGTCAGAGACTCGGTTAGTGAACTTTACTTAAAGAAGGTAGAGGTATGCTTTATTATATGGATGTTGAATTGATGGCCAGTACTATGAATGTGTTTGTGCAGAATCCATGTCCAGAGTCGGGAGCTTCATTCTTGTCCAGAATCACTTTCTGGTGGATCACGGGGTGAGCAGACTCTCAGAGATTCAAGAAACTGGAAAAAATGCATTTGCCAATGTGAATAGGCCATACTTTAACTCTCAAAACATTTTTATTAAAAACATTTTTTTAACGAATGTCTTTTAAAGTGCATATTTTAATGTTTTATGTTTTTGAAAGAACAACATGCTCACCAAGACTGCATTTATTTGATCAAGAAAACAATTAAAAATTTTTGTATTGTGTAATATATTTTGAAATTATTTTTTTTCCTGTGATTGCAAAGCTGTATACTTTTCTGTCTTTTTCTGTAACTTTTGATCAATTTAATGCTTCCTTGCTGAATAAAATAATGAATTTTTTTTTAATGTAATTCTTTTTTTTCTTTCTTTTTTTTTTATATTACTGACTCCAGTGTTTTAATGGTAGTGTAGATTTATAATATTTTCCTTCATTTTGTCAAGGCCTTAGTCATTACCAATGCTGCCCGGCGAACATCCACTGTCGGAGAGATTGTGAATCTGATGTCTGTAGATGCTCAGCGTTTTATGGACCTCATCACCTATATCAACATGATTTGGTCAGCACCTTTGCAGGTTATCCTGGCCCTTTACTTCCTGTGGCAGGTATGTGCCTACACGAAGGTGTCTTGGCTTGTATGCTCATTTCATTACACATCACTAATACCTGTTCTTATGTATTTATTTATTGCTCTTTTGTTATCAGAATCTGGGACCTTCTGTGCTTGCTGGAGTTGCTGTGATGGTCCTAATGGTTCCTCTAAATGCAGTCATTGCCATGAAAACTAAAACTTACCAGGTTTTGAACCTCTTTTCCTGCTCAGCAGGTTTATTTGCCTGAATTTCGTTAATTAGATCATCTTTGTTAATCTGACACTCTCACCCACAGGTTGCCCAAATGAAAAGCAAGGACAATAGGATCAAGCTTATGAATGAGGTGCTGAACGGCATTAAAGTGCTTAAACTCTACGCATGGGAACTGGCGTTCAAAGACAAAGTGTCTGACATCCGAGAGAGTGAATTGCGTGTGCTTAAGAAGACTGCTTACCTTGGTGCTGTGTCCACCTTTACTTGGGTCTGCGCACCATTTTTGGTAGGTGGTGCCTTTGAATTCCAGTCCTGCATGGGCTTTTTCATGATTATGCCCACTGTTTTTGATGCTACCCTGTGTTTGTCTTGTCTCTTTCACAAAGGTTGCCCTCTCCACATTCGCAGTATATGTGTTAGTGGATGAACATAATATTCTGGATGCACAGAAGGCATTTGTTTCTCTGGCCTTGTTCAACATCCTGCGCTTCCCTCTTAATATGTTGCCCATGGTCATCAGCAGCATGGTGCAGGTACTACTCTCTTTCTCTCTCTCTCTTTCTTTAAAAAAAACCCGTTGAATGTGAACCTTGTAATACCTTGTAATATGGTATAAGTTGTCAAATCTTAAATGTTTTTGGACCACTTGTGATCAGATCAAAAGGTTAACATGGAAATCCAGGAACTTGTCATCTGATTTTGATTTTTATTATGACTGTGAAATGTATTGCTTCCTTCAGGCCAGTGTGTCTATGAAGCGCCTGCGTGTGTTTCTGTCCCATGAGGAGTTGGATGAAGACAATGTGGAGCGGCCAGCCATCAGTTCATGTGAGTCCAGTGATTCACAAGCAGTTCAAATCTGCAATAAAAAAAATGTGCCATATTCTGTGGCATGTATTTTTTAGTATGCTGTGCATGTTTGACTCCCAAAGCACTGTAGTCCCCAAACAGTTTCCACAGACAGACATAAAACAGCTTTGTATGAGAGAGTAGCAGCTGTTCAGTAGATCTGTGGGTTTAAAGACATACCGTGTGTTTTGATGTTCACTTAAGAGACTACATTGTTGTTTCCTGCTTATTTAGCTCCAGACAGCATCAGGATTGTGGACGGAGCTTTCAGCTGGTCTAAAGACGAATCCCCTACTTTGAAGAGGTAACGCCATTTTCTTAGCGTGTAAAAGATACAGTATGTGATCCAATGAATAGAATCTTGTTCAGTGTTATTGAGTACTAGGGATGGGAATTGTACAGAATTTCACAATTCTGATGAACGATTCCATGATTCCATGATTTTATTATTTTTGAAGAAGCACCACTCTCCCTCAACAAATATAGTGCCTATTTGAGCCCTGGAAAAGCTCATCAAAGGCTATATAAATAACTTATTATTATAATTATAAGTTTAACATACGACTGATTATGAATAGGACTATACTGGTCGTAGAATATTTTGTTGTTGCATGCAACAGTGACAATGCAAAAGTATATTTATTAGTAAGTAAGTAAGCATATTACTATGTTTCTGCCCACATTGGAAAACATTGAAGAACCATTAATAGAATGTCATGACAGTCATTTGATTTTTATGCTTTAATAACTGTTATCAAATCCCAACCCTATGTACTCTACACAAATGTACTTATTATATTCAAGGCATCAAAATGACTTTTAGCATTGACATGAATATTGCGATTACATAGAGCAGAACCAGTGAAACAGGCTACTGAGGACATTACAGGCAAGTACATGTGCATGAACCCCGATACAGGAGAGCATCAATCGCCAGAGGAAATGTAATCTGGTGAATCTCCTCTGATATTAATGAGAGGGATAATGAAATTTGGGTTGCCGAATTGCTTTCAATCTTAGCTTAATCTCATTTGCTTCAAATCATGTATTGAACTGTGTAATTTGACTTGCATTATTGTTCACTGTAAATTCATTTGTTAATATCAGTACACTCTGAAAGATTTGCCCATAATCTTCAATCAACAATGAAGTAAATGAAGAAATCCTACTGAATGAATGTACCCTTTTATACCTTTATGACACAATGCCGCTTGTGTCCATATGTTGCTTGAACTGTTTGTTGTTCTTTGTATCTTTTCTTGTCTCAGCGTGTCTTTCTCTCTCTTCAGGATTAATGTGCATATTCCTGAGGGGGCGTTTGTTGCTGTGGTAGGGCATGTGGGTTCAGGGAAATCCTCTCTGCTTTCAGCTTTGCTGGGAGAGATGCAGAAGCAAGAAGGATCTGTCTCGATCAAGGTACAGACACAAGCTATGTGCTTTTGCTGTATGTTGTATTTCTTTAGAGCAAGCTTGCCTGAAATTATTTTGTGTGAAAACAGTGGCTCTTGAATTAAGTGCTCTGTTGTATTTGAGTTAAATAGATTATGTATGCACTGGGGCTCAAACATATTTTATTCCACTAGGGTTTTCTTTTATAATTTAATATTTTATTATGTATTAAATACAGTGGGTATAGAAAATAATCACCCCCTTTAAAATAATCACATTTTGTTGCTTTGCAGCCTGAAATGAAGATGGACACATTTTTTGATTTATCCAGCTGTATTTACTCAGTGCAACTTATAACATCCAAGCGAAAGATACCATCATGTCAGAAAAACAAAAATCACAGATTTGGAAAAAAAGATCACCCACTCTTTGTCATAAATTCCTGCAACTGCTTCAGAGTTGCTGTAGGCCTCTTGCTCGCCTCTCTGACCAGTTTCCTCCTGGCTCTTCCATCCAGTTTGGAGTGACATCCTGATCCAGGGAGGGTCTGTGTTGTACCAAATACCTTCCACTTCTTAATAACAGACTTCACTGTGTTTCTAGTAATTGATAAAGCCTTTGAATTTTTTTTGTATCCATCTCCTGACTTGTGCCTGTCCACAGCTTTATCCCAGAGATCTATTGACAGTGCCTTGCCACCCATAGTTTGTAGATTGTTTGCTTCAGCTGCACTACCAAGGACTGAAATGCTCCAGGAAAGCCCTTTTCATGCTGAGCTGATCAAAATGACCACAGCTGATCACAGTTGAAATTCAAATGGCTTCGTGTGCCATTGAGAAGGTGATAAGCTACACCTGATTGAGTTTACAAGTCATTTTTAGGAGGGGGTGATTTTTCCAGCTCAGTGATTCTGTTTTTTTTCTGACATGGTATTATTTCTTTCGCTTGGATGTTATAATGCAACTGAATAAAACAAAAATTGTGTCCATCTTTATTTCAGGCTGCAAAGCAACAAAATGTGATTATTTTAAAGGGGGGTGATTCTCCCCCTTTAAAATAATCACATTTTGTTGCTTTGCAGCCTGAAATGAAGATGGACACATTTTTTTATTTATCCAGCTGTATTTACTCAGTGCAACTTATAACATCCAAGCGAAAGATACCATCATGTCAGAAAAACAAAAATCACAGATTTGGAAAAAAAGATCACCCACTCTTTGTCATAAATTCCTGCAACTGCTTCAGAGTTGCTGTAGGCCTCTTGCTCGCCTCTCTGACCAGTTTCCTCCTGGCTCTTCCATCCAGTTTGGAGTGACATCCTGATCCAGGGAGGGTCTGTGTTGTACCAAATACCTTCCACTTCTTAATAACAGACTTCACTGTGTTTCTAGTAATTGATAAAGCCTTTGAATTTTTTTTGTATCCATCTCCTGACTTGTGCCTGTCCACAGCTTTATCCCAGAGATCTATTGACAGTGCCTTGCCACCCATAGTTTGTAGATTGTTTGCTTCAGCTGCACTACCAAGGACTGAAATGCTCCAGGAAAGCCCTTTTCATGCTGAGCTGATCAAAATGACCACAGCTGATCACAGTTGAAATTCAAATGGCTTCGTGTGCCATTGAGAAGGTGATAAGCTACACCTGATTGAGTTTACAAGTCATTTTTAGGAGGGGGTGATTTTTCCAGCTCAGTGATTCTGTTTTTTTTCTGACATGGTATTATTTCTTTCGCTTGGATGTTATAATGCAACTGAATAAAACAAAAATTGTGTCCATCTTTATTTCAGGCTGCAAAGCAACAAAATGTGATTATTTTAAAGGGGGGTGATTCTTTTCTCGGCTCTCTCGCATTCAATTTTTTTGCACAGCCCTATCTCCCCATGATTTGAAAATTTGCCAAAAAGCATCTTGTATGACTGTGAAAGCAAGAACATCTGACTGTCACATAATCAATGTCCCAAATGTATTTATTTTATTTTGAAAAGCTGTTAATTTCATGTCATAACTGTTCTTTGTTTTGATTTATTAATAACAATGCCTTTAAAGACATTTAAACATTAATAATGGGAGGATAAAGAAATACATTGAGTATCTGACTGTTTTTCAGGGCTCTGTGGCTTACGTGCCTCAGCAGGCCTGGATCCAAAATGCCACTCTCAAAGACAACATTTTGTTTGGACGGGACGGAAAAGACAGCTGGTACCAGAAGGTGGTGGAGGCGTGTGCTCTCCTACCAGACCTGGAGATCCTACCTGGAGGAGACTCAACAGAGATTGGGGAGAAGGTAAATAAAGACTTCAGAATGATTCTTACAATTTGTCCTAACCTAGCACGATAGTTTGAAGGTTAAAGCTGCATGCTGTCACAGGCTGCTTTTAATGCAACAATCTGACATTATTTAAATCTATAATAGCAGTCAGTTGGGTTAATCATATGACATTGTAATTTTAGGGCGTGAATCTGTCTGGAGGTCAGAAACAGCGGGTGAGTGTGGCCAGGGCTGTGTACTGCAACTGTGCAGTGTATCTGCTGGATGACCCGCTCTCTGCCGTGGACGCTCATGTGGGAAAACACATCTTTGAGAAGATCATCGGACCTCAGGGGTTGCTGCAGGGCAGAGTAAGGCCATTTAGTCATGTATTATCCAAATATGTATACATCTCTTATAGGCATTTCACATCACACATGGAACTCTTACAGACTCGGGTTCTGGTGACGCACGGGCTGAGCTTCCTGCCCCAGGCTGACCTGATCTTGGTGATGGTGGATGGAGAGATCACAGAGATGGGCTCTTACACCGAGCTGCTGGGCCGACAAGGCGCTTTTGCTGAGTTCCTGCATACCTACACCAACACAGAGCAGGAGGAGGTGGAGGAGTCAGTGGGAGGTGAGGCTGGCCGCTTCATAGCTGAACTTCTTTCATGCTTTCATGCATCTGTCCTTTCATATAGCCAGTTCCTCTAAATGATTACTATTGTTCATATTGTGTGTGAGATCTTTTTGCCAAATTATTATGTGTCTAGTGATCTTTTTTGTCTGTACATCTATGTTTTCATAATTTCTTCTTATTTGTTGTGTCCCCTCTGTTGGCTTTTCAGAGGAGGGAGGGGAGGCAGAGGACGAAAAAGGGAAATCTGAAGGTTTGAGGGTGTAATTGGTCCCCGGGCCATATAAATTGAATAGGCCTGCTTGTACTGCATGTTTGAATAGGGCTTATTATCCTGGTCTGAGGCCTGAAATATGTGAGGTGCACACTGAGTTTTTTAGTACTTTCCCACTTCATTGCCATTGGACTATAGCTCACAAACCTTAGATTTACATATTACACATTCTTGCACTGTACTCCGTTTTGATAGAGTAAATGGTACCCCTTGTCACAGTAATAGAATTTGATCTCTTCTCAACTCACTTGAGAGCTGAGCAATGATGTAACTGGCTGTTACTACATTACTCACGTACAACACTTGTAATATTGTGAAATATTATTACAATTTAAAATAACTCTTTTCTGTTGTAGTATATTTTCAAATGTAATGTATTTCTGGGATGGTAAAGCTGAATTTACAAAGCTGAATTGACATAATCCTTCAGAAATCATTTTAATATGCTTGTTGGATGCTCAAATAATTTTTTTTAGAATAGAAATTTCAAAAGAACAAAATTTATTTGAAGTAGAAAAGGTATTTACACATGATGATAATTTAATTTAAGGTATACAGGGAAATGTCTTTGTAATCTGTGCAGGACATTTTTTTTTTTTTTGAATGGAGCACTTTGAATGGCTTCACCATTTGGCCTTCACCAGTCTTGTCGCTGTGTCAGTTCCTCATATGTCTGAGGTAGAGGTCTTCTCGGGTCCTAAAATCTGTACCCGACCCAAATCACTTCTTACCCGAACCCGACGTGCATAAATTAATTATTTTTATAGAAAAACCCGACCCAAAACAGACCCGATGAAATTAGACCCGAGTCCGACGGCATTTATTTTCGAACCCAACTGGACCCGAACGTAAACGGCATTGACGTGTACAGCCTGCAGCCCCGCAGTCAATCAGGAAAAATCCCGGTGTTCTGCAGACTGATTTGGCCACTTCTGCATTACTTTGATTTATTTAACATTTTATTCTATTTATTATTAGGCTAGTTTATATTAGTGCCTGCCTGATGGATACAAGTTATTTCTGAGTTCGCCTTTCAATTGTGACCAGTGGATTTGAAAAATAAACGTGATAGTTTGATAAAAAATAAATCGATAGCCTAATAATTCATGGATTCGCTAGTGTTGAATGCAACCTGATCTCCGGCGAAAGGCTTCTGCACACAAAAAAGAAAAGCCCTGCATGAACACGCAGTATAATGAAGCGAGTGGATTTTCCCGATGGATCTTGTATCTATAAGATGATTTCTGTGTGCGAGGTTACAAACGTATGCTCCTTTTCTATGTGCGTTCCTCACTTAACGCGAAAGTGAACGTAACCTACACATTCGGTATAGATTAAAAGAATTCAGGTCTAATCGGATCCATTTGGAAAAAGCATGTTTATTTTAAATTACCCGAGACCCGAGGCCGCTAATACCGAACCTGACCCATGTCCGAGGTACTCGTCGAAGTATTGGACCCGAACCCTCTCGGGTCGGACCTCGGGTTTTCGAATCCAAGTGGACCCGTGAAGACTGCCAGTCTGAGGTGCTGGGCAGCCTGCTGGTGATTCTTCTAACCTTCACCTCTGAGCCTAAATCTAATGTCTGCTGTTTTGATAGACTGTCTTTCATTTCAGCAGGCCTGAGAGGTGTGGTTGCTTAGAAGCCAATTATGATGGCCTTTTATTGCCATGTTAAATATAGACATGTTTGTACTCAAGTGCAGCCTGGGATTTTAGTCACTGCTTGATTACATAATTTGTTGCAAAAGGATTGTGTTGCGTAGGTGCTTTTGAATGCCATGACTTCTAGATAATAAGAAAGCTTGTCTTCTGTAACTTAGAATAGTTTAAAAAGTCTTTGGTACAAGTATGGATGTGGAAAAGCATGAAGCATGCAGGAAGATGTGTGTAATTCTGATTTGGTATATATTTTCTCATCCATAGAAGCAGTCCCACGGAAAGGACTTGAGAATGGGGGTCCTGCTGCCATGTTGGGGTAAGAGATTTCCAATAACTTTTCTGATTTATTTCTTTGTTCTTAATAAACACTGTGTCTAGACCTGTTGCAGCATGATGAATCACTAGCGGCGAGACATTTTGTCTTTCCCAATTTGTGCATTGCTTTCTGTATGTCTTCTGATGTCATATGATAGATTTGTGTGAGAAACAGGTGGAAATTTAATTGGTTATTCACTGATGATCTGCTTTGTGAGCTTGAGAAAACATGGTGACGAAAATCATGGGTCCTTGAATCAGTCATTGCCACTTCTCTCATGAATTCCAAATGACGTTCATCAGTTTGACAGATAAAAAACAAGAACAAAACCATGTAAATCTATGCATCAAATTCGGGTCTAATCGGATCCATTTGGAAAAAGCATGTTTATTTTAAATTACCCGAGACCCGAGGCCGCTAATACCGAACCCGACCCATGTCCGAGGTACTCGTCGAAGTATTGGACCCGAACCCTCTCGGGTCGGACCTCGGGTTTTCGAATCCAAGTGGACCCGTGAAGACCGCCAGTCTGAGGTGCTGGGCAGCCTGCTGGTGATTCTTCTAACCTTCACCTCTGAGCCTAAATCTAATGTCTGCTGTTTTGATAGACTGTCTTTCATTTCTGCAGGCCTGAGAGGTGTGGTTGCTTAGAAGCCAATTATGATGGCCTTTTATTGCCATGTTAAATATAGACATGTTTGTACTCAAGTGCAGCCTGGGATTTTAGTCACTGCTTGATTACATAATTTGTTGCAAAAGGATTGTGTTGCGTAGGTGCTTTTGAATGCCATGACTTCTAGATAATAAGAAAGCTTGTCTTCTGTAACTTAGAATAGTTTAAAAAGTCTTTGGTACAAGTATGGATGTGGAAAAGCATGAAGCATGCAGGAAGATGTGTGTAATTCTGATTTGGTATATATTTTCTCATCCATAGAAGCAGTCCCACGGAAAGGACTTGAGAATGGGGGTCCTGCTGCCATGTTGGGGTAAGAGATTTCCAATAACTTTTCTGATTTATTTCTTTGTTCTTAATAAACACTGTGTCTAGACCTGTTGCAGCATGATGAATCACTAGCGGCGAGACATTTTGTCTTTCCCAATTTGTGCATTGCTTTCTGTATGTCTTCTGATGTCATATGATAGATTTGTGTGAGAAACAGGTGGAAATTTAATTGGTTATTCACTGATGATCTGCTTTGTGAGCTTGAGAAAACATGGTGACGAAAATCATGGGTCCTTGAATCAGTCATTGCCACTTCTCTCATGAATTCCAAATGACGTTCATCAGTTTGACAGATAAAAAACAAGAACAAAACCATGTAAATCTATGCATCAGATCTTGCATGATGTGTATGCTCACTCATTCATTTGTGCTAGATTTTATAAATCACTTGTATTATGGTTTATAAGGACTCTGTGTTATATCTAACAACCATTTAACATTTAAATCATGTACTAACAATATTTTGACATTATTTACTATCCTGGTGTTTCTCTGTGTCCTGTAGGCAGAGTCTGAACTCTCTCAATGCAGCAGGCACAGGTAAAACCCCACAGAAAACTGAACCTAATGATGTTGCGGCCGCAAAGAAGACCAAATCTGCAGAAGCTGCCCGACTAACTGAGGCTGACAAGGCCAACACTGGCAGGGTATAAGTCAGCTGTCTCTGTGTCAGGATGTTAGAGCATGGTTCCTTTTTCCATTTAATTTTGAGATATAGTGAATATTGTTTGTTATGCAGGTGAAGCTGTCTGTGTTTTGGGAGTACATGAAGGCTATCGGCTTGCCCTTGTCCATCTTCAGTATATTTCTGTTCTTCTGTCATCATCTGTCCTCTCTGGGCTCAAACTACTGGCTCAGTCTCTGGACAGATGACCCTGTTATCAACAACACACAGCCCAACAGAGAGATGCGTTTAGGGGTGTATGGAGCCCTCGGAATCTCACAAGGTAATTTAAGAGACATTCAGATTGTTGTGTGTGATTGTTTATATTCACATCTGAAATTCCTGAAAACTGTTTTTAATATGACAACTTTTATATAAATAGAAAAAAGTTCTCACCAACAGTGAAGTTTTGAGCTATGTGGTCACTGTTGGTTAGAACTTGTAAAATATTTTTTTCACTGTATGGAGCTTTGGTGTGCCAGCTTTTTCCTTAATGTCATCAAATCAATAAATACTCACCTTCCAAAATTCACTTTTAAAAGGTTTTCTTTTCTTTTCTTTTTTTTGAAAATACCATCTTAATTTCATAGGTGAACTATACCTGCCGATTAATAATTATGGTATTTTCTTCGTATTTTAGATAAACCAATATGTTAAATTGCAGCCCCTTAAAATAATTTTAATGCAATGCAGTTTTATGCAATTCAACATATTTTTTGTATTAAATGTTTGTTATTAATATATGTCTATGTAGTTCTTTATATGTTTTTATTATTATTATTATTATTAATTAGCTTATTGGTCCAGAAACCATTTTGAAGCTAGCTTTTGAAACCTTTTTTCATATTGCAGCCCCTTAAAATAATTTTAATGCAATGCAGTTTTATGCAATTCAATATATTTTTTGTATTAAATGTTTGTTATTAATATATGTCTATGTAGTTCTTTATATGTTTTTATTATTATTATTATTATTATTAATTAGCTTATTGGTCCAGAAACCATTTTGAAGCTAGCTTTTGAAACCTTTTTTCATTTTTTTCTCTCTGATAGGCATTGCAGTGTTCTGCTATTCTGTGGCGGTGTCGGTTGGTGGGATCTTAGCCTCCCGCTACCTGCACCAGACGATGCTCTACAACATCCTGAGATCACCCATGTCTTTCTTCGAACGCACACCCAGTGGCAATCTGGTCAACCGCTTTGCCAAAGAGACAGACACCATTGACTCGGTCATCCCTAGCATCATAAAAATGTTCATGGGCTCCATGTTTAATGTGCTGGGCTCATGTGCTGTCATCCTCATTGCCACGCCACTGGTAGCCATCATCATCCCACCGCTGGGCCTGTTCTACTTCTTTGTACAGGTCAGTCAGTTGTTTTACCTTGCGGCTGCATGATAGCTAAGACTAGCAACTCTCTAGGCTAAAATACATTTAAATAGAAAATATTTGAGATCTAAAACTTCAATGTAAGTGTAATCATTTGCTGGGTGCTGCTCTAACATTTGTCTTTTCATCTCTGTTAGCGTTTTTACGTGGCGTCCTCTCGGCAGCTGAAACGACTGGAGTCCGTGAGCCGCTCTCCTGTCTACACACACTTCAACGAGACACTGCTGGGCACCAGTGTGATCAGAGCATTTGGAGAGCAGCAGCGCTTCATCACAGAGAGTGATGGCAGAGTGGACCACAACCAAACAGCTTATTTCCCCAGCATTGTAGCCAACCGGTGAGAATTCACAGAACCTCGCATGATTTTACCATTAGGTTAGATGTATTAGTGTTTCGTTTTTTGGAAAGCTGATGATTTGATGTGTCTTTGTGCCTCTGTGTCCTGCAGATGGTTGGCAGTGAGGTTAGAGTTTGTGGGAAACCTTATTGTGACATCTGCAGCGCTTTTTGCTGTGATGGCCAGGGACAGTCTGAGTCCAGGTATCATGGGGCTGTCCATCTCTTATGCGCTGCAGGTCAGTCTAACTTCTAAAATGATGAGATACAGACCAGATGTCCACTCAAGTCCTTACTAGTTCCATATTTCTCACAGGTCACAGCATCTCTGAACTGGCTGGTGCGGATGTCCTCTGAGCTGGAAACTAGCATAGTGGCGGTGGAGAAGGTGAAGGAATATGGAGACACAGAGAAAGAGGTCAGTGCACCAGCAGGCAGATTGTGTGTGTTCATTCTGTACTTGTGTAGAGTCCAATCTGTGATTAGCCCTGTTCCCTCTTTTATCTCTCACTGTACTAGAGAGATGAGGATAGTTAGCACACAGGGAGGGGTGGGGGATAATATATGTCCACAAGATGTGGCACTAGTTTCTGGAAAGAATTTGGGTAATTTATTTATGGCTATGATTATTTAGGCTACAGTTTGCATTAATATATGAAAGGAAAGTGTGAGATCTTGTAACTGATCTTTTTTTTTTTTTCATTTGGTATGCTGACCACTGGTCACGTTTTAATTTTATTTGAATTTTTAGCTATTTCTAATGAACTTTTTTCCTTCACTTGTTCATTGTTAATTTTAAGTGATTTTTTTAAATGACTAAAAAATTAAAATTATTACATACACTTATAAATATTAGATTCATTACACTGTCATTCAAAAGTTGTGCTCAGTAAGATTTCTTTAAAAGAAGTTAATACTTTTATTCAGCAAGGTTGCATTAAATTAATCAAAAGTGACAGTAAGGACAGTATCACAGTTTCACAAAAAAAACATTTCAGCATCAGATAGTTTCAGATAAATTCAGCTTTGCATCACAGGAATAAATTAATTTTCATTTTAAAATATATTAAAATGAAGACAGTTATTTGAAATTTTTTTTTTTTTTCATTTGGTATGCTGACCACTGGTCACGTTTTAATTTTGTTTGAATTTTTTGCTATTTCTAATGAACTTTTTTCCTTCACTTGTTCATTGTTAATTTTAAGTGATTTTTTAAATGATTAAAAAATTAAAATGATTACATACACTTATAAATATTAGATTCATTACACTGTCATTCAAAAGTTGTGCTCAGTAAGATTTCTTTAAAAGAAGTTAATACTTTTATTCAGCAAGGTTGCATTAAATTAATCAAAAGTGACAGTAAGGACAGTATCACAGTTTCACAAAAAAAACATTTCAGCATCAGATAGTTTCAGATAAATTCAGCTTTGCATCACAGGAATAAATTAATTTTCATTTTAAAATATATTAAAATGAAGACAGTTATTTGAAATAGTAAAAATATTTTACAAAATTGCTGTTTTCCCTGTATTTGTGATCAAATAAATGCAGCCTGGTTGAGGAAAAGATACTTTTTTTCAAAAACATTTGAAAAAATCCTACCCACACTGGACTTTTTAACGGTACTGCAATTAGCAAAATTAGCTGATTAAAATAGTATTAGATGAACTATATAGCATGTTACACTGCAGGACGGGTCAACTTCCTGAAAGTATTTCAGGTTAACTTCATGTATTTCTGGTTTCAATGTTAAAGATGGATTGTTGAGATGTGATTGGTCTATGCTGCATTAATGTCTCTGTTTACAGGCTGAATGGAGGTTGGAGCACTCCACTCTGCCTGCTGGCTGGCCGACCGCTGGTCATATTGAAATCCACAACTTTGGCTTGAGATACAGAGAGGACTTAGAACTGGCTATTTCTGATATCTCGGTCAACATTGAGGGAGCAGAAAAGGTGCGTGGAGCCATTATAATATTCAGAATCAGTTCAAGCTAATAAACAATGTTCATTTAGAAATCTATTCACCTAAGATTTCCTTATAAACATGCAAAGTTAATCATGTATGTATTTGTGTGTTTTTCTTAGGTGGGAATTGTGGGTAGGACAGGAGCAGGAAAGTCCTCTTTGACATTAGGGCTCTTCCGCATCATCGAGGCAGCTCAAGGGGAGATCCATATAGATGGAGTCAACATTGCTGAGCTGGGCCTGCATGAGCTACGATCCAGAATCACAATCATTCCTCAGGCACTGGACTTAAATACATTCATTTAAAGTCACTCATTTGAGGATATCACTATTAAAGTTTTCAAATTGATGTTTTCCTTTCAGAATGATTTCATTTTTTCAGTTAACTTGCCAATGAGAATTGAGCTGTTTTAGTTTTAGTTTTTCTTTTGTATTTCTAAACACCTTTTCCTCTGTCCCAGGATCCAGTGCTGTTCTCTGGTTCCTTGCGTATGAATCTGGACCCCTTTGATGGCTACACTGATGAGGAGGTCTGGAGAGCTCTGGAACTCGCACATCTCAAGAACTTTGTGTCTGGCCTGCCTGACAAACTCAACCATGAGTGTTCAGAGGGAGGAGAGAATCTCAGGTATAAACACCTTCTCAACAATATTTATTCTTCTTTTGACTAAAATCTAATATGACTGTTTCTGACTGTTTCAGTTTGGGTCAGCGGCAGCTGGTTTGCCTGGCTCGAGCTCTGCTCAGGAAGACCAAGATTCTGGTTTTGGATGAAGCCACTGCAGCTGTAGACCTAGAGACGGACAATCTGATACAGTCCACTATCCGAACTCAGTTTGAGGACTGCACCGTTCTGACCATCGCACACCGTCTCAACACCATCATGGACTACACAAGGTTTTTTTTTGGTTTTTTTTGAATAATTAAACTTCAAGAATATTAAATAATAATAAAAAGTTATAAATAATAATAAATATAAAGACTACACCAACACTATATTATATATTGTTATTTAAAATGTTTATGTAGCACTAAATATTTCCTAACATTTTTCTTGAAAGGGTGCTGGTTCTCGATAAAGGCCAGATGGCAGAATTTGATTCTCCGTCCAATTTAATTGCCAAGAAGGGAATTTTCTACAAGATGGCCAAAGACTCAGGTTTGGTCTGATAAGTAGAGGGGCTGAAGAGCCCTCTGTTCATCCTAGGACATATCACTGGGTAGAGCCCATGGAGAGTGGACCTTGTGAGACATGGACTCTGAAGGTACCTCTTCTGTGGGCCTGGAGCTCACACACATAGTGTGAACATGACACCACTCCATCCTCAGCTACTGTAGCCTTCCGTTTTCAATCACATTTTAATGGTTTCACTGCAAATGCTGCTTTGAAGGTTGTTTGATGCCAACATTGGGATGTTTAAAACTAGTTTGATTTCTTCATGGCTGTTTTTCTTGTCTGTTTTCATTTGGAAGACTTCTCACTTTTCCACTAAGCCAAAGAAGGGAATTTTCTACAAGATGGCCAAAGACTCAGGTTTGGTCTGATAAGTAGAGGGGCTGAAGAGCCCTCTGTTCATCCTAGGACATATCACTGGGTAGAGCCCATGGAGAGTGGACCTTGTGAGACATGGACTCTGAAGGTACCTCTTCTGTGGGCCTGGAGCTCCATCCCACTCCACCACTCCATCCTCAGCTACTGTAGCCTTCCGTTTTCAATCACATTTTAATGGTTTCACTGCAAATGCTGCTTTGAAGGTTGTTTGATGCCAACATTGGGATGTTTAAAACTAGTTTGATTTCTTCATGGCTGTTTTTCTTGTCTGTTTTCATTTGGAAGACTTCTCACTTTTCCACTAAGCCGCACTTTCCTGTTGATTGTTAGTAATGAAAACAATTATATTTGCATCATTGCTTCACTAGAAAGAGTAAAGAACAAAGTTTCTCTGAGCGTTGTACCACTGATGCAGTGATAATACTGACCAAACAGCTGCTGGGAAATCCCTCCATGAGCATCAGGTGCTTCATCCCAAGCCAAAGTTAATATTTGAAGGTATTCTCATTTTCAAAAAAAGTTTCCTAAAGAGAGACATTTGAAAATTCTAGTTTCATCTCCAGATAGCCATTGATTTCTCTCATTTAATCCTCATTTATAGTTTTGAGAAAATCTGTTACAATATTTTTTTTTTTCACATAAAATTATTTTATCATATAACATATTTATTACTGAGTATCTCCCACTAATGGCGACTTAAGCCTCATCTTACCAATATCATGCAGTAGAGTCTACACTGACCTTCTGTTTTCATTGGTAATGTATTTAGTTGGCGTATTTGATTTAGGATCTTTGTTGTTTACTATTATTTCTCAGTGATTATTTCACCAAAAATTATGAATGCACTTATTGTTCTGTGTAAAAAGGTCAAACTAGGGTTAATATTTCAGGTTTGGTGGGAGTGATATTATTTTAAAAACAAGTAGGAATTATGCTATATCACTTTAAGGTCAGGTATCCAAATCATAGTGGTTCTTTAAAGGACAGGTTATCAAGTAGATGGCGTACCTGTTGAGCTGTGTGCTTCATTCTGTGTGCTGTATACCATATATCTGTTGAATGTACGCTTGAGTGCGCAATGTTGTTTGATTCATCAGTACCTCCACTCTAGATCATTTAAGCCTTATGAGGCCAATCAGTTTTTTGTTTTTTTTAAAGAACTGACAAAGACAGGCTTAAAATGATAAAAAAAAAAAAGAAGATAAATCTGATTTGTTACATATTTATATGAATTGTATGTAAGCATAAAGATATTATTTGATATTTGTATACATGCACTAGTTTTAAGTGTGCTTAGGCTGATGTGTACAGGGTAAATATGAATAAATTTTTGTAAAGAGCCTTTTGTTAGTGTTTTAACTTGAGCTCATTATTTTGTACTTCGGAAATCAGTCTCTCAAAATGTGATTTTGTCAAAGTGAGAAAGAAATTAATTTCTGATCAATACTACCAACATTTATTTTACTGAAGCTGCTCAGAAAATAAGAGCATGTTCAAGTTTGACAGTCTCACATGAAGTGTGCCTGGAAACGTTATAAATATATAAAAATACAGTTATTATACAGTACAAAATACATAAATACTGATTAAACTTTTAGATTATGGAAAAAATACAAGTATTAATACACAGACAAATTCTGTATAAGGATGGGTGGGTGTTGCATTGTTTTGAACATGAATGGATGTTTCTCACATCATAAATAGCTTAAAATAGATGCATCTTTCACCTTTATGGGAATTTAGGGTTTAATGTGCTGACATAATTAATAAATTCTTGTAACAACCTGAAAAGGTTCAAGTAGAATTGCAACTAGTTCTACAGCTGTGTCTTGCCTGGATCTATAACAATAAACTACAAATTTCCACAAAACTTCACTTTGACAGCAATGAGAGGTGGTGAACATGGTGGTGCACACTGACCATCTGAAGTGTGCATTATATTGACCTACTGAACACCTCTATGGTAAGAAAACTTTACGCAAGTCTTCGTATTCTGAGATGAGATTGTTGACGACATGAGGGAATCAGTCTGTTCCTTTAGCACCTCAGACGTCAGTTAAAGAATCAGCTGGAGAATGCTGAAGCACAGCGCTTCTGTAATACTGGAAAAAACGTGGACACCTGCTGAAGTAGAACAGCTATTACGAGCAAAACCTCATCATCCTGAGCTTTGTACTTCTCTTGATTGAGAAGGCAAGATGTGTCCTTTAGTAAGTTCTGTGATGAAAAGATTCAGGTAGTCTCAGCAAGTGTATTAGTGAGATTTTCTTCACCATTTTTATAGTCTCTCCTGAATAAAGAGATGATTTTGTCGTTGGTTGTTCTGGTAGTGAAGGTTCACACTAGCCCAGCCTCCCGGCACATTCGATAGAACTGACCACGCTGAGAGATCAGATTGGATGGTGAGTCCATCTCTGTGATGTGCCCTCTGTCCATCACAATCACCCTGTTGGGAACAGTTGAATAGGGTTGAATTATTGTCAGTAATCATAATCATATTCTTTTTAGAAATAAACACGTGCTCTTTGTTATACCTTGTGTAGTCCATGATGGTGTTGAGACGGTGTGCGATGGTCAGAACGGTGCAGTCCTCAAACTGAGTTCGGATAGTGGACTGTATCAGATTGTCCGTCTCTAGGTCTACAGCTGCAGTGGCTTCATCCAAAACCAGAATCTTGGTCTTCCTGAGGAGAGCTCGAGCCAGGCAAACCAGCTGCCGCTGACCCAAACTGAAACCCAGAATATCCAGTCAGAAACTGTCATACTAGATTTTAGTCAAATGAAGACTAAACATTGTTGAGAAGTTGTTTACACCTGAGATTCTCTCCTCCCTCTGAACACTCATGGTTGAGTTTGTCAGGCAGGCCAGACACAAAGTTCTTGAGATGTGCGAGTTCCAGAGCTCTCCAGACCTCCTCATCAGTGTAGCCATCAAAGGGGTCCAGATTCATACGCAAGGAACCAGAGAACAGCACTGGATCCTTGGGGAAAAAAGGTTGAAAATAAAACACTCAATCGTTAAGTTTTTTGAAGTTTGTCATGGTGTTCGATCTGTTTTTCCATTTTCACGTGTACCTGTGGGATAATGGTGATACGAGATCTCAGTTCATGCAGTCCAACCTCTGCAATGTTTATCCCATCTATGAAGATCTTTCCTTTTGCCGCCTCGAGGATCCGGAAAATTCCGAGAGCAAGAGATGATTTTCCAGCCCCTGTTCTTCCCACAATTCCAACCTGAATAGATTCAGTGAATAACTTAGAAAAAATAAACCACAAATATGACAATGTGCTCAGATGTTATATTTACTTTCTCTCTCTCATTAACACTGAGGGAAATTTCTTTTAAGGCCCAGTCAAGACCCCTACGGTACTGAAGTCCATATTCTTGGAATCCAATGGATCCGGATCTGGGCCAGTCTAATGGGAGTGGACTGTTCTCGATTGTCCATGGTGCCTGCGACAACCCAAGACTAACTTAGTGACCTCAAGAATGAACGTAAAAGTATACTTTTATGACTTTATATATAAGATTTATGGGAGAAAAACAGCTTTCAGACCAACGTTACCTCTTTTGTTGTTTCGGCATATTCCTTCACTCGCTCAACAGACACAATGTTGTTTTCTACATCTGTCCATGCCCGCACAATCCAGCTCAGGATCCCAGTTACCTGCAATGTGATTTTTCTTGAGAAGTTGCCTAATAGGTGGCTGTCCAAATGTCCACATGTGTGGCTGTCCAAAGTTTTCCAAAAACTTTTTGATGAGTTCCCTACCTGGAGAGAGTGTGACACAGCTAGCCCCACGATTCCAGGGCTTAAAGTTGACCTTCCCATAACAGAGAGAATAGCTGCAGCAAGGACCAGCAGGTTACCCAGGAACTCTAGATTTACTGCCAGCCACCTATTGGAACATTAAAGATATTGTATAGAGTTGGACTGGATTACCGGTAACAAAGAATGAATAAGCCATGACTGAATCTGACCTGGTTGCCACAAATCTTGGGAAATAGGATGTTTGATTGTGGTCCACTCGGCTGTTAGCCAGTAGGATAAACCTAGACTGTTCTCCAAAGGCCCGAATCACACTGACTCCTTGGACTGTCTCATTAAAATGAGTATAGATGGGCGATCGACTCACCGACTCTAGTCTACGCAACTGGCAGGATGTGGCCACGTAGAAGCTCTGGCAAAACATAGAAGAATAGATGCCAGATGTCAGACTGGTGCTCCTTGTTACGATACTCTTGCATGCTGAGCAGTCTCTAGTAGCATACCTGGATAAATGCATAGAGCAAAGTCAGTGGCAGTACGATCACTCCTGCAAAAGGAGTCGCCATCAGCACGATAATGAAAACCTCCAGAAGTTTGAACACATAGCCCAGCATCATCTTCAGCCCATCAGGGATCATGCAATCAATGGCGTCTATCTCTTTAGAGAACCGATTGAGAAGGTTACCACTGGGCGTACTCTCAAAGAACGACATAGGAGAGTGAAGTACATTGTTCACAAGGTCCAAATGAAGATGCCGCGATGCAATTATTCCTCCAAGTGAAATAGCCACAGTAGTGCCAAAAACTGCAATTCCTGCAATACAATAACAAAGTTAATGATCAAGAACAATACAGAGTCCCAGGGTACTCAATGAGGGTTGAGGAACATGAGGAATTTTGAACCTTGTGCAAAGCCGAGAGCGCCAAAAACACCAAGCTTCAGATCCGTGTTGACCTGTGTTCCATTTACAATCGGGTCATCTGCCCACAGGCTTAGCCAGTAGTTGTAGGCCAGTGAGGCAGCTTGCTGGAACGCATAGAGGAAGATGATGGGGATGATGAAAGCCAAGCCGATGGTCCTGAAGTAATCCACATACATCTCCAGTTTCACCTATGTGTGACCCGTTATGAAGAACGTGTGAGGAACAACACTCTGGATGATATAGTGCACATTCAGGCTATATTATGGTGTTCGAACAATGAAGCTCAATGACCTGTAATCAGGGGTTAAAATTAGATCACTGTGGTGACACAAGAGCATCTGAAACCCTTGTCGCTGACCTGTAGCTGAACTTTAAAATTGGCCTGCCACTCTAAATCTTTGGCCTTTGGTATTGAGTTATGTGTGAAGGCATATTTTGATGTGTCTACACATTGTTTGAAACGTCTGTGGATGTGGCTCTATTACTTACTCGGCCTGTATGAGCTTTGTCAGCTTGGGTGAGTCTTCCAACTTCCTCCTGGTCCTGCTCCTGTTCTGTGTCAGAAATGGCCTCCATGGTTTGTATACTGGCACTTCCCATGTCTCCACTTCATTAAACAAAATTGACAGAAGGGTAAATATGTGCTCTTCAACATCATTTTCATTTTCAAAACTTGGCTACTTTTACCTGATGAGTTGCTCTTGGGAGAGGTCAATAGAGAAGTCTGTCATGCTGAGCCGAGATACTGATTTTCTGGTCCCTAAAACAAGGTAAATCTGCATTTTTAACTGTGTTAACATAAAGAGTGTTGCTGTAGTAACTCATCAGTTATGCTGGGCACTCATTCTTTTAGCTTACCTCTATGGGTGGCACTTTCCTTGCGTTCGCTAACAGAAAAAGCTTTAACAAAGTCTGCAAAAGTGTTCTTCCTACTCAAAAGCTCAGCATAAGAGCCCATCTCCGTTATTTCTCCATCCTCCATCACCAGGATCAGGTCAGCCTGGGGCAGGAAGCTCAGCCCGTGGGTTACCAAAATACGAGTCTGTTTTAGCAAGCATTAGAGAGCATCATCGAGCAAGCTAGTAAGTTTGTTATCTTAAGACTGTACAGTGTCTTTTGCAGGCTTAGGCTAAATTCAGATTTTTAAAAGGTTCCCTGGAACTGGATTTTGAATTAAACTGGCAATATCTATTGACATTTGAGATGGACTGACAGGAAGAGAAATTTGCAGTTCAATCATTTTCAAGGCAAGTCTAATCATTATTTTAACTTAAAAATTATTTGCTTTTTCAATACACTTTTATTTTTATTTATATTAATTATACTTCCTTACATTCTAATTCAAATTGCAATTTTGCATCCTTTTTACTACTTAAATTTAGAATGTAACTTTTCACATATCAGATTTTAAGGTCGCATATTTTATCTTACTCATATTGTAATTTTTACCTTATTTTTAAGAACTCCATTAGGTCCAATGACTTTTTCAAAGATGTGCTGACCCACATGTGCATCCACAGCTGACAAGGGATCATCCAGCAGGTAGATATCAGCCTTCCTGTAGACTGCACGTGCCAGACTCACTCTCTGTTTCTGACCTCCTGACAAATTCAGCCCCTGTGAACATAGTAAAATTGTAGTGGGAGTTTAGTCATGACCCTGCTGATACCCTTCATATTTGAAAAAGATTTAAAAGAAATTATATTTAATAGCTTTTAACTTTATTCTACCATGTCTTTTTCGGACACGTAAGAATCATTCTCAATTCATGTTTACCTTCTCTCCAATCTCTGTGGCATCTCTTGCAGGTAGGATCTCCAGGTCTGGTAGGAGAGCACAGGCCTCCAACACCTTCTGGTACCACCTGTCTTTCCTCTCACGTCCAAACAAAATGTTGTCTTTGAGAGTGGCGTTCTGGATCCATGCTTGCTGAGGCACATAAGCCACAGAGCCCTGAAAGAGAGTGTTAGCAAAATTATATGTGGAATATGAGAATGGTGCCAATATATTTTTAGTCATTTTTCCGAATGATTTACCGATACTGTGACATGGCCACTTTTCTTTTCCATTTCACCTAACATCGCAGACAGAAGAGAGGATTTTCCACTGCCCACGTGACCTACCACAGCCACCAGTGAACCCCGCTGCACTTTGACATCGATCCTGCAGAAATTAAGCATTGCCAGATTTTATTTTATTTTATTCACATCTTATTTTTATTATCTGTGTGTTGTTGTTGTCTCCGTGTACTGGAAGCTTGTGACACTATAACAAATTCCTTGTATGTGCAAACATACTTGGCAATAAAGCTCTTTCTGAGTCTGATTCTGATTATCGTCTCTGTATGTTTACGAATGGTGGACCTATAGAGATCTTTCAGCAGGTATTTTAATTTACAGTAAGTGATAAATACATTCAAAGGCACCTACCTCCTGAGACATGGTGTGCTATCTTTAGACCAGCTGAAAGTACCATTGTCAATAACAACACCTTCAACATCTGACAAAAGAATGAAATAAAGAGGTGAGCTTTTCATCGTTTACACACTCGTGGCGTTCCAAACGATGACTTTCTCTACTCTGCAGAATATTTAACGATATTTTTTCATGCTCTTTTCAGTGCAGTTGCAATGAATATTAGCTTCAAAAAGGACAGATACCATACAAATATCATATAAGTGGTCCATACAACTCTTGGACACAACAGTACATTTGAATAAATATTGTGAAGACATATAATAGCTTTGTGAGAGAAACAGACTAAAACAGTTTTCACTGAAACTAACCTGTTTCAGCAATTAACTGAACCTGAATTTCTATCATGAACCAAAATTAGTCTGATTCAGTTCATTTAGTTTGGAAGAAAAAGTCATATAGGTTTGGAATGACTTCAAGGTGAATGATAGAAATTTCATTTCTGGGTGAACTATCCCTTTAAGTGTGTATTGCATTTGAGGTTCATAAAACCATTCCACAAGTTAATGAGGCAACAGGGTGATGATAATTATTTAGGTTAATACATTTCCATTATTGTTTAAACATCATCCATGGGATATTAATGATATTCAGATGATGAAGTATAGAGAAAATCTTCTCTTTGACCTTTAATATAAAAATAGCATTTTTAATAAATCAATTTAAAAATAGGCCTTTAACACACAAAAATTTGGAAAAGTTATATAAATATAATTGCAGCTCCAAAGCTGAAAATCCCCTTTCACTAACCGCTGTATGAAGTCATCATACACATTTCAGCCACTACCAACACCCACCTCATAGCCACACAATTTCCTTGTAGTCTTTGTTTAATTACAGCTTTTAAATTCAAATGGGCTTGTCTTGCAGAATAACTGGAAAAATATTCTTCAAGGCAGATTAGTAACTCGTTATTTTTGTTTTAGGCATGCCAGATTTTGTTATGACTTTTGGAATTAGAACTCCACCATCACATTGATAGGGAAAAATCTGTATAACAGTGGCTTATAAACTGTTGTATGTCAGAGGAAAGTCTAATGCACTCACCAGGATGGTAGGGAGTTCTCTCTACGCTATCCAGTTTCAGCTCGTCTTGACAGAGAAACTTCCCGAGACGTTTGAGAGAAACCAAAGCCTTAGAAACAAGAAACAAAGATATCTTCAAATACATAGGCGTTCAAACGTTTGAATGACCGTACTGCCACTCACCTGCATGGTAGTGCTCATTGCAAAGGGCAGTTGACTGAGTGGAGCTTTGAGAATGTTGATGAGAGCCATGGACACAAAGACCTTCTCAGCATCCAGAACATGCTTCTCATCAATCAGCACGTACACTCCAAACATGGCAAATGCAATCTGAAGGCAAAATGGCATACACGATCAATATATTCAGTTATGAGGACTATATTAATGTGTTAAGATGATGATGATGCCTTTGTGAAATCTACCAAGAAAGTGGAGGAGTTGAAGGAGGCGATGGATATGGAGTAAAGGATCTGAGACTTCTTCAGAGCATTCAGCTCTTTTTCCCTATAGCCAAGAACACGTTCTCTGAAGGCATTCTCCCAGGCGTAAATCTTAAGGATCTTTATTCCGCTCAAGATCTCATTCATAAGCTTAATGCGTCCGTCCATGTACTTCATCTGGACCTCCTAAGAGCAGCAAACCGGTTAAAACACATGCGAGTTGAGAATCATGCAAGCAAACTTGTTCACCAGACCAGACAAAAACCAATATGGGCGAGTTCTTCAATTCTTTGGATATTTGAGAAAGTAATAATAGGCAAGTAAGTAAATAGTAGTAAGAGAAGTAAATAAAGGCATTTCAGTTTTACAACAAAGCAAAATCCTGTGGTTTTTACCATACCATGTCCATAACATCAGAGCTTCAAAGGGCAGACTGCACAGAATGTCCACATGCTCGTGTTTTAAATCATTTGTAGGCATGAAGCAGTTCCTGGGACGACACTGTGTACCGACATGACCTCAGTCGCCACAGCACGAATATCATCATGGAAATATCATTTATTTGACTGAATGGAACAATATAAACTATACCTGGAGCTTGCTTCTCATTTTGGCAATGAACCCATTCAAAGGGAAGATGAGAATTACAGTGGCGATGCCAGCCAATGCAGATGGGCCGAGGCGCTATACAGGGGTGAGACATTTCAATTAATGAATTTTAGATCTGTGCTCTCAGAAATAATGCACAAAAATTGGGGTTCAACAGCTTATCAAAGGGCCAGTACCCTTAAAGGGACATCTTTGTACCTTTTTAACCCTAAAACCTTCATAGTACCTAATAGTACTTGATAAGATGACAAACTGTTGTACCCCTAAAGATAAAATTTTTTTCCTGACAACATAATCTAACATATTGTAGAAGAATAAACAAGAAAATAAATTTTGTCCTTTTTTTCATTTCTAGAAGCATCTGTTCTCACCTGCCAGAGGAAGAAAAGACACAAGGCGATTTCAATCGGGGCCACCCACACTGCATTGAAGTACACCACGAAATCCATGAGTTTCTGGGTGTCAGCCGAAACCAAGTTCACTATCTCTCCAACTGTACATGTTCTGCGGGCCGCGCTGTTGATGACCAGAGACTGTGGAGACCAGAATGAATGTGAGAACCATTGTATGCTTCTTTGCATTTGCTAGCAAACCGTTCAAAAACCTACCTTCCTGTACACTAGGCCCATAACTGCAGTTTTAACCCTCATGCCTACTGTGAAGCACGTGTACATGTACTGATGGTTGAACAGGGACTGCAGACAAGACAACAGGACCATCAAGAAGGCAAAGACGTAACCCTTCCACAAGGGGGCGTCTTCATCTCTCACAAAGCCAAGAAGTAGACTGAAGAACAAGAAACACAATGTCATGATTTACTGAGACCCAAACAATGGCACAGCATTTTTGTAAATACTCTATGAATTTGGCTTTATTTTAAACATCTGATTTACATTACGGCAAACACAAGCCAAACCTAAAGAAATTGGGATGTGAACATAATTTAGGACTATAAATCGAGCCTTCCTGGACCTAATACAGCTGAGCCTAAACAATATTATCTCCATGCATCAAAGTTTCTCAGAGTCCAGGATCACTGTAAAGGGGTGTTGTGATGGTAGCGAGGCCACAGTTCCTGTGGTTCTGGAGCAGTGAACCCACCACAGTGCTCTTGGCTTGTTATATGCCAGACGGAGTGGCTTAATTTGATGATCCAAATCCAGGTTTCTTCTGAGCTGTAGCTCAGCCATAAAGAATATGATGCTACAGTGAGTAGACTGTCCTAAGTGATTTCGACTCATGGTGCATGGGACATAATTAACAGTGTGTGGCTGCACCACAGCAGGATGTGCTGTTATTCCTGTCTGTGATGGGAGTTAACACTCAATACTGAGAAAGGGCAACAAGTTCACTTTACAACAGAGTGCTAAAGGTCTTGCTTTACATTTACACTCTGGCATGTGTTTTCTTATAAAATAACATTAAAAACGGCCTCTTAGATATGTAGATATTTCCCAGATACAAAAATATGTTTTAGTCTTAATAAATGCTTCTGAAAGGAGGACTGTTTTTAGACTCAAAGAAATTAATAATACTGAAAAATGTTTAAGCATATTAGAATGATTTCTGAAGGATCATGTGACACTGAAGACTGGAGTAATGATGCTGAAAATTCAGGAATACATTACATTTTAAAATATATATTTAAAAAAAAGGATATAGTCCTTCTTAATGTATTTTGATCAAATGTAGTCTTGGTGAGTATAAGGGGCTTCTTTCAAAAACTTAAAATCTTTCCAACTTCAAACCTTTGAACGGTAGTTTATAAAGTGTCATTGTGCATGCCATGGCATCATTAATGCGTCTCTCACCTTAACACTTGTGGTATGGAGAACATGAAAACATCTTGAATGACCAGACAGAGAGTTCCAGTCAGAAAGTAAGGGCCAAAGTTTTTGGCTAGTGTCCGGAGCAGACAGAAGCCTGAGCTTTGTTCTTTATGGAGTTTTCTGAGCAGTTGTGTCTGCTCGCTCAGTTTATAACCAAGAGCTTGTGCTCCATTCATAGCACTCTCTTGCCTGTGTTTGAAGGAGAAAACACAAAATTTTTATCCAAAATGTAGTCTCTGTTGTAGTATTCTGCAAGCATTGTTGCAACAAAGCTAAAATAAAAGTGCTTCATAAACTAAAAATACAAATAAATCAGTAGTTATGAACAGGCAAATTATGGACGTCACATACTTTACTGAGTAAATGTGTGCACAATAGTCGCTGAAATTATCAACTCAAGATGGAAAACATGCATTTAAGGAAATAGCAGGTGTCTTACTGTTGCATTTTGGCCCATTGCTTGGCCCACTCTTTCTCCAGATCACAAATAATTTTTTCAGATGTGTCCTCTTCTCGTAGAGACCAGAGGTCCTCAGCTTTTAAAGGTGAGCGGTAGCCCTTTACCACTAATCTGTGGAGCACAAATATGTGTGTTTCTCAGTATCTTGTGGGTTTTTATTATGCAGACATTTACAAGAATTCAATGAAATGACAGACAAAAATATGACTCTACCTGCCGTACCACCAAAACAGTACTTTTGAAAGGAAAGAAGCATCCTCAACTGGACACGGATTCTAGTGGAAAAACCAATAAGTCCAGGTATTATTTTTTGACTGCTTTCCAAATATGAATTTACTAATTGAATAAAAATCATCTTAACACAGATGACACTGTACCTTTACAAATACAGGTTTAAGAGTCGCTGGGCGCTGATCAGCGAAACAGCTGAGGATGAGCTGAGCCAACTGGAGAGAGAAGAATGTGAAGAATGCCACGAATCTCATCGCATCTGCAGAGAAACCCTGTAACACACATGACTGGTTATCAGCACAGTGTAGACAGCATTGTTGAGCACATCACACGAATACAGTACACTCATTTTAAAGCAACTGGAAACACAAATGTTTCTTTTTTCCAATGTTTTATTGGTATAATGTTAGATAAACTAGTATATAACATAAAATGAACTTAACATAAAAAGTAGCAAATTAATTTTAATTTAACTTTAAACTGCAATTTTGGCCTATCGCACCACAGAATAAAATCAACATGATTCTCCCCCTCTGTGGACATGACCAACTAGGCTCAAGTTATGCATACACATTTGCCAGGGATTTCCCAAGGATTCATAACCACATAAGCTGCATGCTTCCTGTGGGATTGTATCCATATTTTCTCTTCCATCTCCCCTAGCACCAGGACTGATCTGAGATCAACCGCCCACTTTGTCTCACCGCAGTGTGCAGAGGCGGGACTGGCGGCTGATGTGGGGAGTGTTCTTTTGGGGATGCTGCCTGCTGACCTCAGCTTATTATAATGACCTAAATGTTCCATCAAACCAGGATTAATGACACAACCAAGATTTATGAACACAACTAAATCTTGGTAGAAAAAAAAGAGACCACTGCACATATTTATGCCAGCAGACCCAAGCTCTTCATTCACAACTTCTAAGAGAATAAATGTGATTGATAATAATATTCAATAAGCATTCAATCACAAAAACTGGACTTCAGCTAGAACTACCAAAACTTGCAGATGATCTAAGCAGCGCATCTGCTCTTCAATCAGCCAAATAGAAGCTGCTTGACTAACATTTGACTAATTTGATTAATGTGACGTATTTAAAATTACATTAAATTATAAATTAAATTAAAATATAATTAAAAATATTTAATTCTATACATTCTATTCATAGAATATAAATTCTAAAACAATTCTACTTATAAGTAATGTTTCTGTTTGTATTATTGTTTGACAGTATTCTCAGTATTCTCAGGTTCAAGATTTGTTTGAGAGAAAATATGCTGAGGTCGGGTTTTAGGTTCAAAACAACTGCCCTGCCAGAGGCCTGGAGCTGCTATTGAAAGTTTTACAGGGTCCACTGAGGGCAACCATTCCTATGGGCTTCTGACAGAAACCATGTCAAATGGCCACGATACGAGAGAAAGTGGCAGTGCAGGCCCCTTTAAGAATATGTAAACACAAGCTTTATTTACTCAAATGGTCACAGTTCAAACTCTGGACACCACAATGCTGGATACTGTGATTATTTGTCCGCCTCACTGTACGCTTAAACAGTTTGGAGAAAGTCAAATTGGTCAGGGAACATATCCTCCCACAGTGTGGTATGAGAGGACCAAGTGCTAGTTTTTTGCTGTTGGGCCTGCTGCCCATTGGAAGAGGGCTCATTTGGGTCACAACAGATCCCACCACAAACCAAGCTTCAGTTCCTATATAAATGTATGGACTGTCATCACTGAGCTGTACGTAACTTCATTGTTGTTTTTATATTTCCTTACTGCACTTAAAGGGATAGTTCACCTTCAGTTGCTGGTCCCCTTGTTTCCATAGTATGGGGGGGGGGGACCACTATGCAAGTCAATGGGGACCAGCAACTGAAGGTTAACTATCCTTTAAGTAGCCTACATTTGAGTTCAATTGTATGTTTTCAAGTCAGTATTGTAATTTTGGGAAACTTTCGCTTTTACTTCAGTATATTCAAAAGCATAATATCTTACACTGAACTCCCTCTACATTTCACTAAAACATGTCATTTGAACTGAAGAAGTCCAGAGCCGCCATTAGACACAATATTGATGTCAAATTCGTGAACAAATGATCTTTTAAAGCGAATTATCTTTTTTAATCTTTTGAGCCGATTATTTTCAAAGAACCTGTTGTTCTCAAATTTAAGTGAATGATTCGGGAATCAGATAAATTAGTTCACAAATTACAATGAATAATTTCTCATGATTAAAATGAACAAAGAACAAAGAGTAATATAATCCCCAGAACTTTAGAGTTTGAATGATTAGACTGATAGCTTGAAAGGTAAGTTACGAATGCTGATTTTAAGTCTTGGGTAAATATGAAAGTCATATTTGATTATACATGACTGTAAGTTTGTGAATTAAATGTGCTGTAAAAGGGTGATTGTATGAAATGCTTGAATGGGTACTTTAGGGAATAATAGTGCAAAACTTTTTGCAAAGTTTAACCACATATTTGTATTAAGTGGTATATGTAATAAAATAGTAAGCATATATTTTTAACATTTCATGTATATTTTATGAAGTAAATCTGGTGCATTAGTTGTGTGTCTTACACTAAAAGAGAAGTTTATTTTTATTTATTTATTCATTTTAAATTGTGTATATAATAATTTTTACATTTTGAAAATGTGTTCACTTGCAGACTATTGTGACTACTGTGAAAGTGAATTGCCTGTGGGTCGAGCCTGTTTTATTGCCACACTGTCATCACTATTCATCAGTTCTCATAGCCACATAATATAAATATAAAACAAAATATGTGCATAGCCTTAAAAATTATACATTCCACACTCAGTATGTGTGCAAACTGTCTCTGCATGTAAGTCACTGTATAATTCACTCTCCAGTGTCAAGACACTGATTGTTGTGTCTGTGTCAAGTTGCAGTGAAATAATTATGGAGAGGGAGCATCACACCAGGCGAGAGACAGACAGACTGAGGGAGACAGTATGGGGATCCGCAATATGTATGCGGTTTTTCCTATCTGTCTGAAAAAGCACCAGCATTGATTGTGACTGGTCTCAGCACAGCCTCAGCTCCAGACAAAGAAGGCATTGAGGGAAGTGGAAAGGGAAAACCGACTGGCCGCCCAGACGTCAACGCTGAGAAGAGCACCATCTGTAAGCACTCTGTTTACGCACCGCTGTGTTAGTCTCTCAGACCAAACACCGATTAAATTTAGAGTGAGATTGAGTAACATTCATTAGAAAAACCATGCGAGGGCCTGTGTTACGCGTGCGTGAATGGAGAATAACAGAGCATAGGCATTTTGTAGTGCCAGAGATTCAGAGTTTAGGGCAACAAGTCTAATTCAATTATAGTCTCAAAGCACCAATAATGGCTGATATAATGAAACCCTTTACAAATAGGGGTCCAAAGGTTTGTGACTGCAAGTATAAATGCTTCTATTTCGTATTTTTCCAATTTAATCTAGTATTTTGTAATAATTACAAATTATATTGGGAGCAGCACTCAAGATAGAAAACGTGGAACCTTCATGTTATTTATTTATTCATTTATTTTTAAATGCTAAAACTTTCTGGGGTTTAAATTTCTAGTTTTAAATTAGATTTCAAATTCAAGATTTTCAATGTGCTCTCAGATTTTGGGTGCTGCAGTATACTGGGTGAACTCGGGTCTGTCAAAATGTCTCTCAATTTTTAATCAACTTAAAAGATTGCTGAGAGCAGAAAAGACACTTCTCTTCCATCTACTCTTGAGCCTCTAACACTAGCACTCTCTATTCGATTTCTATTCTATCTACTTGATTTCTTTCTTTCTTTTTTAAATTCTTGACCCTCTAACACTAGCACTATCTACTTTTTATACTTTTTTATTAAATATAAAAAAAAGAAAAAACCTTGCTATGTGTACTGCGGTAGACTATCCGGGACTTGTCACAGCACTTGCATATTGTTGCTCTTATGTTAGTTTAATTGCTTCTATCGTCCTCATTTGTAAGTCGCTTTGGATAAAAGTGTCTGCTAAACGATTAAATGTAAATGTAAATACATAATAGTTGGATATACTGGGAACACACAAACCTTGTCTATGATGGCTTGTATGTTGGCTCTCAGAGGCACCAGCGAGCAGATCACTGCCAGCGTCCAAAACAGGAAGAGAAAGATGGAGGAACGAAAGCCCTTCAGCCTTTCCAAGTGGATCACCAACACTGCCAGTATCTGAGGACAGAGTGTATTTCGGGCAGTATGCTAGTCATGCTCAACAAAATACACTAGAAGAACAGGACTGAATACCATTAGGCAGCTTAGACATGTTTATACAAAAGTCTCTCAACCAAAATGTATTGATTCTATACAAGCATGCAAAGACTGAATGTTTAGTCTGTGTCAGGACTTTATCTTGTTGGGCAGATCTGGAAAAAAAAGGTAATTTACTACAACCACTGTTGACACTGCTGTGACCAGAGGTCAGAGAGGCTTATTTATCCTGATCCCTTCAGGAAACCTCTGCCAGACGTCTAGCCACAAAGAGATTTGTTCATTCAAGCTTAAATATAACAGATCATAAATCTTAACTATCCTCTAAAAGAGTCCCATTAAAAAAACAAAACATAACTTGTATTGTGTAGCTTGATATGTTTACACTGTTTATACATCATTACAAATATAATAAAGAATAATTTTTATTGTGGAGATTCATAAGAATAGTAATTGTTATAGTGTGATTTACCATGGTAAGGCTGCGAATTACAGGACTCAAGAGAAAGACCATGTGACTCTCTATGTCTCTGCTTCTTTCCACCAGCAGATAGACCATCTCCAAGAAACCAAAAAAGGCCAGACAGAGACACAAACCCTACAACAGGTACACACAGACATGCAAGCATTAACTGCAACACTGAGGTGTCATGCCCCCCAAAAATGTTTTTACTTGCACTACTGTTCAAAAGACTGGAGTTGTACAATTTTTTATGTTTTTGAAATAAGTCTCTTTTGGTCACCAAGGCTGTGTATTTGATTAAAAATAGAGTAAAAACTGTATTATTGTGCAACGTTATTATAATTTAAAGTAAATGTTTCCGTCTGAATAATTTGAATAATTTTCCGTCTGTAATTTTCAGCAGTCATTACTCCAGTCTTCAGTGTCACATGATCCTTCAGAAATCATTCTAATATGCTGATTTGTTGCTCAAGAAACATTATAACATTGTCTTTATTGTCACTTTTGATCATTTTAATGTCTCCTTGCTGAATAAAAGTCTTAATTTCTTTCAAAAAATTAAAATCTTACTGACCCCATAACTTTTATGCTCTATTAGAATTGATTTACGTGTTCACTCTGTTAAACTTGATATGATCTGTTTTTCTTCTCATAAAATTATTTTCCTGCCTTCGATGCTCTATAATCATGTAACCCATTTGAGCATTTCCATGCACATAGCTTGTGAGTTGATTGATGCTATATTCAAGTCTAAGCTATAGAGGTGTTAACTAGAATTCAGTCAGGTCTTGATATGACCACTATGACTCACCGTCTTGGCACAGCAGAGGCTGGATATTGATATGTGTCCATTGTCATAGAATCTGAGGTACAAGCAGTAGAAAGGGGCACAAACCCAGAGATAGAAGCAGGGGAACCACACCAGTACTGTGTGCTGGAAGCACTGGGTCAGGTCTGGGTGTGGTGTGTACCATGTGACATTCCAGTCCTGAAAACACAATGTTAAACCATTAGTCTTCTCTAACTCGTTAACTTATTACATCAGGAGTGATTGTTCAATTATTAATGACTACTTACGCATATTTTACCACTTAATAGATTGTATTCACTGTCTGCACTCTTGGAAATCACTTCCAAGTGACTTAAAAAAAAAAGATAGTTCATCAGATTATTTGATATCCATTGACGTTCCCCAGTGTTTGTTCAGTCCAAATGGCTCTGTGTGTTTGTGATTTATATTAGTTGTCTTGCAGTGCTGTTGTGTTTGCAACAGACAAATTGTGTGAAGTAGCACAAAGGTGAAAGGTAAAGCTCCTGTAATCTTCAGTTTTTCTGTTTTGAAATATTTTGTTTGCCAAGTAGGTTTATGATGATGAGTATAGCTAGATTTGTCTTGGTTGCTACTACAGGTCATGACAGGGGAAAAAATATCTTTGCCTTCACAAATGTACACTGAACGTTACTTAAGGCAGTGGCATTCTAAATGTTAAAGGTGCACTCTTGTGTGTGTGTTTTAGCCCTATTGAATAGAATTCTATGTTCTGATTGTAGAAAATTCACAACTTACACAAACGTAACATGCAAAGAAACTAATTATTTTCAATATTTCGCTGTTAATATTGCGTCCACTCAGAAGCATCACCAGCAGCAGACCAATTTTCAAAGCACATAGTGTGTACAGATACTGATGTTGTGTAATAACTTTTGCATATTAGTTCTGCTGAGTAATAGTCTGAATATCAGAGTTTGTGTGTGTTTAAAGTAAAGCAAAGCTGTGGTCTATGACAAAAATGTTGTTCTATGCCTTTTGATTACATCAAATTTGGGCAAACCCAGTTTGGCATCATTGCAAAGACTTCTCTCTCAAGTTGAATTTCACAGGCTCATTCTATTCAGACATCAGTAATTCACACTCTATCTCTTCAGTTATTTCTGGCCTTTCTATGTTGGAAAACAGGCTGATGTCCAAACGCAGCTGTAGAGCTGTTATGTTTTTTTCTTTCAAACGTTTTCTGGACTGATGAGAACTTGTTTGGCTGTGTTTTATGCTGTGGTTATTTCGGCAATGGCACAGCTCTGATAAATTCTGCATACTGGTTGGAAGGAGTCCTGTGGTTTGGCAGTATATAAGAAGTGCACCTTTGGCGAGCCAGAATGTAAACCCCATATGCACCATGAGAGGGGCTGTGAGCACCAAGCACATCTCTATGTTCACATACAGCAGCAGTACAGCCATTGCCTGAGGTTAGGTTTTAATTTTCCTCAGTATATTATCTTATTAAATAAATATATTTATTTATGTTCTACTGTTAGTTATCTGTATGCACCAAGGGTCTGAGAGTAACGCAATTTCAATTCTCTGTGTGTACGTGATGTACATGTGGAAGAATTGACAATAAAGCAGACTTGACTTGACTTGATAATCATATTTACTCTGCCTTATGTCATTCCAAACCTCATTCTTACATGAAACACAGAAGAAGATTTTTGACTGATTGAATTTTGACTTTTTTGGTGCTGGTTTCTCTTTTCCATGCAATTACAATAAACTGGAACTGAAGCTTTCATGCTCCAAACAGCATGAAAAATAACTATAAAGTATTCATAAAAGTAGTCTTTACAACTAATGCATTTGAAGTCTTCTCTAGCCATACAGTAGCTTTGTGTGAGGAATAGACCATTCTGCTTGTTATTCATGAATAGTCCTTCCATCCAATAACTGTTCACTGCTGCAACCAGATCATTTTATTAGTGAGTGGAAGTTTGAGGATTGGACCAGTCAGATTTGTGAACAAATCATACAGAATTGTTTTGTGAACTGGCTGAACTGACTCCTTTAAAACCTAAATCAAACGTCTTTACTTTTCTCATGAATGCGCCAAGGTGAGCTGTCAAGATTTGCAGTAATTATTGACTTTTTGGTCTTTATCTTCACAGAAATTTTGTGAATTCAGGAATATGCAATATACTATAGCATAAGTCACACTGACCTCTTTTATGATATTTTCATGGCTTATTTATTTATTTATTTCAAGTTTGCTTTATTTATATAGCACATTTAAAAACAGCAAGCATAGCTGACCAAAGTGCTGAACAAAAGATCACACACTAATAACACAAGCTCACAATGAATTGAAAGCCAAAGAAAAAAATAAGTTTTATAAGATGATTTAAAAGCAGTTAAAGACTGTGCCGATCTGACATAAGCCGGGAGGCTGTTTCACAGCCTAGGGCCAGCAGTAGCAAAAGCTCTAGCCCCTCTGTGCTTTAACCGCGATCTGTGGGCAGAGAGCAGTCTCTGTTCACCAAGACCTCAGATTTCGTGTGGGACGGTATAGATGGAGTAGCTCAGACACATACTACATTTTATTTATTTAGATTTATTTGACCTGGTGAGTAAATGATGAAAAATTTTATTTTAAGTGATCTATTTGCATCTTCTAGCATTTCACCTTTATTTAGACCAGTATTTAAAACCCTGCAAGTGCAATCCAGACACATACTACAGGTTCAAGATGAGGCATTTGGTTCGTTACGTTGTTGTTTTGGTCAGGATATGTCCTCATCTATGAGGGGGTGTGCTGTGGTCTGGGCCCAGGAAGGGAAAGAGATTCTCATTCACGTGGCAGAGCACAGCACAGTCACAGTTTTCCACAGGGAGTTCAATGGACCATAAAGACACTAGCTTCTACCCATCCTGCATCCTCTAAGACTATGTTTGCACTGGTCTAAACCCAATGGCAACCACACTCTCAGCTCAGGAAGTGATTCAGAGTGGTGTGTTGTGTACCCTTCCTGCAAGTGTAGGAGTTCAGACTGCCGGTCAGCACAAATAACCTTTAAAAACAGTTTAAAAATGACACCGCTGATGTTTGGATTTATTTGGAGGAAATTTCTAAGGATGGCTTGTAATTCACAAATCTCCAGTCATTTCTTTTGGAAAAGGCCAGTGAGAAGCTAATAACAATCTTTCACACTAGCCATAACAAGTTAGTCTGACTAAAGTCCTCAATAAAGGTTCAAAAGGTTCAGCCAGATTGCTGCTGTCAGACATGCTTTAATAGACATGATCTAATGACCTTGACTTCTTCATCTCATTCCACGTTTTCCCAGCTAACAATTTAATATTTTAAGAATGTTGTTCTTATGTTCTTATTACGTTATGAAAACGTTATCGTCATGAGTTTGGGCAGCTATTTTGTGCATGCAAGACCAGCTCTATTTGAATGAGAAAATAACGAACGTTCCAAACTCACATTTAAATAACATTTCAAAACTGCAACAAAACTGACATGAACTGTTTAATGAAAGTTGATTATTATGCTCAAATAGCATTTTAAAAAGCATATATTTCAGGTTGGTTCATCCAGTCCACATTATGTAGTCCCAATCATGTCTCAGGACACTGACTGTTTCTATGGGAATGGCAGCTGCGTTGATGCGATGACTGTACCAACTGACAATTAGCTCTTTTATTTAAAGGCGGGACTCATTCCATCATATTGGCTGTTGCAGTTTCTCCCATTCATAGTAATATGAGTCTTGTTGTTGAGACTTCTTCATCTCATTCCACGTTTTCCCAGCTAACAATTTAATATTCTAAGAATGTTGTTCTTATGTTCTTATTACGTTATGAAAACGTTATCGTCATGAGTTTGGGCAGCTATTTCGTGCATGCAAGACCAGCTCTATTTGAATGAGAAAATAACGAAATCTCAAAAACTGTGTTCCAAACTCACATTTAAATAACATTTCAAAACTGCAACAAAACTGACATGAACTGTTTAATGAATGTTGATTATTATGCTCAAATAGCATTTTAAAAAGCATATATTTCAGGTTGGTTCATCCAGTCCACATTATGTAGTCCCAATCATGTCTCAGGACACTGACTGTTTCTATGGGAATGGCAGCTGCGTTGATGCGATGACTGTACCAACTGACAATTAGCTCTTTTATTTAGAAGGCGGGACTCATTCCATCATATTGGCTGTTGCAGTTTCTCCCATTCATAGTAATATGAGTCTTGTTGTTGAGTCTTGGGCTGTTCACCAACGTTTACCATCCAACCTGACCGAACTGGAGAGGATCTGCAAGGAGGCATGGCAGAGGATCCCCAAATCCAGGTGTGACAAACTTGTTGCATCTTTCCCAAAAAGACTCATGGCTGTATTAGATCAAAAGGGTGCTTCTACTAAATACTGAGCAAAGGGTCTGAATACTTAGGACCATGTGATATTTCAGTTTTTCTTTTATAATAAATCTGCAAAAATGTCAACAATTCTGTATTTTTCTGTCAATATGGGGTGCTGTGTGTACATTAATGAGGAAAAAAAATAACTTAAATGATTTTAGCAAATGGTTTCAATATAACAAAGAGTGACACATTTAAGGGGGTCTGAATACTTTCCGTACCCACTGTATATAAAGGCTTTGATTAAACTAAACTTAAAATAGTTGGTTCATTAACTACTGATCCGTTATTTAAAACAAGAGTGGTCAAACTTGCCTGTGACGTTTAAATTACACTGATAATATATCAATGATTTTCATGTTAACATTGTAAATCAAGTCTGATAGCATTGAAAGATTGTTCTGTTAACATTACAGCAAGAAAACTTTGGTTGCAAATTTTGAGAACATTTTGAGAATGTTTCTTGTTAGCTGGAAAGCAAATGTAGCTATTTGAAATCATCCACAGAATGCGGTCAGTTACTTATTGAATGTGCATCATCTGTTCCAACGTCATTGTGAAATGGTAAATATTGCTTAATGAGTAGGCTGTACCATGGAGAACCTTAGGAGGCACAGGGCCTTGAACAAAATTAGCTTGACTCTGTCACACACACACCAATATCATTACACCTGATATTAAATGAACCATCTATATTACACAATATAAGAGAAGACCATCATTAATCATTTATTTATTAACCTGAATTCCAACACTGGTCATCCGATCTGTAATCATTGTTCAAAAATATGGGCTAAAGTACAGTCACTGCACTCTTGATGAAACCAGAGTACGGCTGTTTGAATGTTAACACACTGAGATATTAAAGCACACAAATTAAATTTTTACAAAATCACAATATATATTCTCACACATGTAGCATAGGTTAAGTGTGAGTGAAACAGATTAACCTTAAAACAGATCATTTAAGGTTCCCATTCTGTCCCGCATTCAATCTTGGTCAATGAATCATTGGGTGAGAAATGCATGACTCAACCCAGCTGGCTGTTATTGTCAAAAACCATGATCACTTCCAAGAATAAAGGGGCATAAATAACATAAATGGATGACTAGACACATTTTGTGTTACCTCACAAGCATGCAGTTATTTTTAGGCAACCTTCATTTCTGTTTAATTTCTTAGGTTTTAATTGGCTATTGAAGTGATTGAGTTTATCTCATTACATTTACATATCATCACCTCTCCATCATTCATCTGAGACTCACCCAGAGAGGGTCCAGGCCACTGAGACTGCAGAGGGTGTCCATCCAGGTTCTTCTCTTCTTCACTTCACTTCCTGTAGTAAATCCCTGCTCCCTAAGCTCAGCAGTGTCACACTCTCCTGTCTATGTAGTTTCTGTTGGCAGTGTAAGTGTGTTTGACAGTAGTTGCGCCTGAATGTGTGTTTCAGCCCCTTTTTTGTAAGCCAGCCTCCTGTGTACTGACTTGAGTTTTGTCAAAGCTATAGTCTGACAACAGATTTGTGTAACTGTCCTGTTTATGAGCACTGGCCTGCCAGGTGGGTGGAAGATTTGGACTCCGTAAAACTATTTTCCCTGTTCTCTTTCGTGGCTCCGGCCCACGTGTGCCGAGGCCACAGTACCACAGACACTCCCCTGGAGGAGATGAGAGCGCTGCAGACATGGCCACACCTCGCTCTCCTTCAGGTCTTGTTTCTGTAAACTCCCCCAAACCCACCCTTCCACCCTGCTTTTTAATGGACAGGAAATGTTTTACAGCAAATAAGGAATGTGAGTGGCTATTTACAGGTGGTTCTAATGGCATTTTGTGTGGGATTCAGCGGGGCTACGGTTATTCCTGACAGAAAGTTATTTATTTGTTTGTTTGTCCCAAAATATAAGACTTCGAGTATGATATCATATTTATTTATTTATTTTTTGTAAACTGAAGATTGATGGAGCAGCACAATTTGATTGAAAGAAATGGTTAAAAGAAGTTTAAAAAATCTCATAAAGACAAAGCCAGGGATAGGCGCCTTTTAAGGAACGTGTGGAGGACACCAAGTGGCAACCCAACACAGTACCAAAATAGGTTAGCATACACAATTGAGTTGTATTGGTTTCATGCTATCCAAACATTCACTGCACTGTGTTTTTGCTGCAAAGTAAACATGTATTTAATGCAGTCAATGCTGTACTTTCTTTTACCACGCAAATGGTTGCATTTTATTTTTTGCATTTAGCATTTTATTTGTTTTTTAGAAATGCTTTTAACTCTTGTTATCCTTCACTTATTTTGTCTGCTCCAGCACAGAGTTGAGAATGAGAGGAGCTCAGATGAAGTGAATGTGTCTGGAGGTTCTGCCAGGGGTCAGATCAATAGAAGGAGTCAAGGACTCTTGAAAAGCAGCCCATCCCTGCCTTTCGAGGTGCAGAAGTAGGTTAAACTGGATGCCACTTACCTGGTATTAGAACAACTGATACCAGTGTGAGGAATGCAACATCTCAGTGTGCTGTAATTGAGAAGTACTGTGTGTTAAGGTGTATGTGAGCGAGTGTGTAGATAAGGGGTAGTATGTCAAATATGCTGTTCTATGTGCTTACTTGATGTTCATGTCCAGCAGTTAAAGTCTTTCTCTGTGCTGATTTTAAATAGGCTATTGTTTGGATTTATTTGAACTTTTAGAAGCTCTAAAGATTACAAAATGAATCTCACTTGTGACTAAATCCCATTTCCCAATCCCATTACCCCCTCTTTCCCTAGAAAGGCATAGTAGTCAAGTTAAGTCAAGTCACCTTTATTTGTATAGCGTTTCATACAATCCTGATTGTATCAAAGCAACTTTACAGTGTCAAACAGGAAAATAGTTTGTTAATAATGCAAGAAGGCAATAACAAAGAGTAATTTTTTCCAGCTAAAGTCAGTTCATTGGTGAATCAGAGATGTCATCATCCATTTCAACTCTCTTCCAATAGTGTCTGTGCAATCAGTCAAGAGTCCCCAACTAAGCAAGCTAAAGGCAACAGTGGCAAGAAACCAAAACTCCATCGGTGAGAGAAATTAATATAGAGAATTTAAAAGGGGGATTTTCCTTTTGGGAGAACTAGCCTATGTTTTAATGAAGCATCGTGTCCGACACCCATCCACTTCAACCCGTTCCCTCATTCCTGTACATATGGTGGAATTATGACATAAGCTTCTCTCTTTATTTTTCATTCAACTCTGACTAGACTGTAGACAGTCATCAAAACAAACACAAGGATGTTAATGGTATGTCGGAAAAATTTTCATTCGTAAGAAATGAGAACAGTGGTCTTTTTGATTGGTAGTAACATTTAATATTCATCTAAACATGGCGATGTGGAGCAAACAACCACAAAAACATTTCATTTGCAATGGAACTTTACAGCTTATAAGTGTTTTTACAGTGAAACACTGCTTACTATTTCTGTCTTCATTAATGGTTGCTGTCCCAGCCTGTTTCCACACTTGATGAAAGGTCGTTGCGCATGACAGTGGAATTTTTATAGAGAAACTATTTTCGCAAAGAGAACTACAATTAATTTCAGAATGTGATGGATTTATAGGCTAATATTTTTAATCAATTTAAAATTTGTGAACTGAAACATCATTCCAGAAAGCCTCAAAATATGCATACAGGACAATGATCCCAAACACACCAGCAAGTCCACCTTTGAATGGCTCAAGAAAAACTCAATTAAGGTTTTGGAGTGGCCAAATCAAAGTCCAGACTTAAATCCGATTAAGATGCTTAAACAAAGAAGAGTGGGCCAAAATTCCTCCACAGCGATGTGAAAGACTCATTGCCAGTTATCGCAAACACTTGATTGCAGTTGTTGCTGCAAAACGTTGCACAACCAGTTATTAGACTTAGGGGACAATTACTTTTTCACATAGGGCCAGGCAGGTTTGGACAGCTTTTTTCCCTTAATAAAATAAATAATCATTTAAAAACTGCATTTTGTTTTTACTTGCATTATCTTTGTGTAATATTAAAATTTGTTTGATGATCTGAATCTTTTAAGTGTGACAAATATGCAAAAAAATCAAAAAACAAGAAGGGGGCCAACACTTTTTCACACCACTGTATCTGAATCATACATATCATGCATAATTGGCGACTTTTCCTAGTTGCTGGAATTTTCCTCATGATTTATTGTGTGTGGATTACTTAAATGTATGGCAGGGTAACTATACTGCATTATGTTTATATTCTGGGATGCATACATTTACAGCCAGCATTCTCCAAATCTCGAGGAGATGATTGTATGCTCCGTGTCACTGGCTTGTGCTTTTGGCATTGTCCACCGAAAATGAAGATCACAACAGTGACCTTTGGGTGAAAAATGGCTTTGTGGACTGAAGTAAACAACAATTTCTCCTGCTGATTTTGTTTACAAGGAGAGCCTGTTTTACAGGTTAACAGGAATAGTGTGCTTTTGGACAACTTTTATAGGTCAAAAAAGTCAACAACAGGTGATTCTTTACTACAGTATTATCTTCTTGTTTTCCAGTTTTCTTAAAGGGGTCATATGATGCTTTTTTAAAGATAATTATTTGGTGTATTTGATGTAACAGAATATGTTGACATGCTGTAATGTTCAAAAAACACATTCTTTTTCAAATACTGTACATTATTGTAGGTCCTCTATGCCCCACCTCTCTCAAACGCTTCGTTTTCTACAAAGTCCCTCCTTCTGATTGGCCAGCTGACCCAGTGCATTGTGATTGGCCGAACACCGCAAGCACTCTCAGAAATGTAACGCCCCTTACCATAATCGCGAGCTTCATCTTTCAAAATAAATGTAAAGACAGAGCCCGAAAGGGGAACAGAGTCGCATGACAGATACAGTGATGAAGCTGGTATGTGTTTGCAGTACACAAGCTACGGTTAAGACAGCTGACTCCACTGTGATGTGACCCCCCCCCCTCTCGCTGTCTCTCGCGCTCTCTCTCTCTCTCTCGCTCCAATAAAGGTGCTTCAAAAGGTTCTTCACAGCGATGCCATAGAAGAACCATTCAGTCAAAGGTTCTTTAAAGAACCATCTCTTTCTTACCTTTTTATAATCTGAAGAACCTTCTTTCACCACAAAGAACCTTTTGTGAAACAGAAAGGTTCTTCAGGTGTTAAAGGTTCTTTATGGAACCATTTAGACAAAAAGGTTCTTCTATGGCATCGTGAAGCACCTTTATTTTTAAGAGTGTAGAGGGAAACTGTGATAAACATCATGTAAGCATCTTGATTTATCTGTTCACTACAAGAGAAAGGACAGCAGTTACAACATTTAACAACTTGCAGAATTGCAGAAGGAAAAGAACAACACTTGGTTACTATGGTTAATTTTAGACATTCAGATATTTGAATTTCTGTTTATACATGAGTAGCTTTCGTTTCCATTGAATCTTTTAATTCAAAAGGGCAGACATTCACTGTTTGCAATCATAGCCTCTGCTGTTTGTTTTCTTATGCTCTCACATCACAAAAGTGAAGACATATTGTGTAACACTACGATCAACAAACAGTTCCTAGCATGCCATTGGTGAAAGATATTTTCACAATGTGAAATGACCACTGCCGCTCTGACCACTGCTGGCTGTCTGAAACCACAACGCTATGGCCATTGTCCAAATGAAATACACTGGCTCACCTCAGGCCAGACCACATTTGACGCCAGCAGAGCCGACAACCCTCTCGCCCTCTCTGTGGGTATTTGCTTGTATCAATTCAACAACAGTCTAGTTTGACACAGTGAAACACTGAACTCTGAGAGCCCTTAAACACCTTGATCTGATATTTAATTTAAAGCAGCACTATGTAACTTTTTCTGTGTTCAAAATTTGCAAAATGTATATAATGAGCGAGTACATCATGAATTAATTTTGTCTTATTTCGAATCACTACGGTACACTTATAATAATTACTTATGGGGTTAGAGAGTCGGACTCGTAACCTAAAGGTTGTGGGTTCGAGTCTCGTACCGGCAGGGATTGTAGGTGGGGGGAGTGAATGTACAGTGCTCTCTCCCACCTTCAATACCATGACTGAGGTGCCCTTGAGCAAGGCACCGAACCCCCAACTGCTCCCCAGGTGCTGCAGCATAAATGGCTGCTCACTGCTCCGGGTGTGTGTGTGTGTTCACTGCTGTGTGTGTGCACTTTGGATGGGTTAAATGCAGAGCACTAATTCCGAGTATGGGTCTCAACAAAAACAGCAAGGTCTAATATACTGGATGGTTTCTGTATCTCCTGTTTTAACTTTCGATCCAAAATTCTCTTTATTTGGTATAGCTCATGTACAAGGTCTTCAAGATCAGACCCATACATCCTAGCAAATGGAAACAGAACATCCTTTTCACAGAATGTTTCACTAGAAGGATTCAGAGCTTGGATACCCCTCACTATGTCACAATTTTGTTCTGAAAATCTAGTCCTCAGCTCATTTAGCATCATGTCCAAAACCTGGTA